AATTCTCAATTTGAATTATGTGAAGATTCATAATCTTCTATGTTATCTAAATCTTAGTTAAAGGTGTGACTAGTTAGTGATTCGCTTGTAGGGCCCAAACAAGTGGAGGATGCTTATGGCATGGGTATTAACCAAGAGAAAGGTGTTGTACTGTTGCTGTAATTTTGGTTTTCTCTACCTGTAAGTAAACTTCTTTCTATGGTTACAACTCCTTAGTGATATATGATTAGCATGAAAGAGAATACAGAAGATAGCAAGCAGCTCAAGAAAGCTTACCAGTTATATTTCCCTGCTGCTTGGAAGATGTCATTCAACATTGAATTTTGTGAAAGTTCTGGGAAGGATCAGATTTTGTTCTCAGGCCTCCACAGCAAATTGCTTTATCCATTTGGTCTCTGTGAAAAACTGAGTTCAATGTTTTGTGAAAAACTCGCTGCAATTTCTTTTTTATGCTATGTTTGTACTCAATATTTTTATTGTTAACGATAGTGAATTACTGAATAATGAGCACTGGGGAAGGATAGACCTTGAAATGTGTGTATGAATGAAGTCATGAGTTTTGTGTGGTTGGAGAAGCGAACATCTGAGTCCTTAGTATATATTCGACATGTGGATAATCTTTGAAACATCAAATCATTAAAATTTGTTTCATATTTTCTTGTTATAGGGTGGACATACGCACCAATAGCAAAAGTGGGGAGGCATTCTAATCCACAAGAAGGTAGCAAAGTGGTTGGACTGCACTGCAATCCTATTCAGCCCGAGCTTCTTTAGTGTGGAAATGATCACTTTGTAAGTCCTTAATCACCGCTTTAAGCATTAATAATTTGTATTAATTTTTAATGATTTTGGGTTTTAGTTAGCCCAGGTGCAACTGGGTTTTACTCTTTTACTGTTATCTGATCATTTTATTTTCCCTTGACATATCATCTACGGAAGTTGAAATACTAAGTTATGTATGGTTCTATAACTTCAGGCTCGTATCTGGACATGCGGCGATTGGAAGCTGGATCTTCCTTACAACCTTCCTCACAAACGCGTTGTTAACTCTGCATATTTCTCTCCATTGTCTGGGAGCAAATTCTTACCACATCACAAGACAACGATTCGTATATGGGACTCTATCTTTGGCAATTTGGAGTCCCAGCCGAGAAATTGTGCACAGTCATGATTTTAATCGTCATCTGACTCCTTTTCGAGCTGAATGGACCAAAGGTGATTCATGTAACTTGAATTGTTTACATTTGGGTTTCTTAAATTCTTTCTAACTTTAATATTTCCTGGTGCAGGATCCGTCAGAGTCACTAGCAGTTGTGGCCGTTACATAAGTGAAAATTATAATGGAGCTGCCCTGCATCCCATTGATTTCATTGACGTCAGCACAGGACAATTAGTTGCTGAAGTAATGGATCCTAACATTACAACTATTAGTCAGTGAACAAGCTACATCCCGGGATGATGTTTTGGCCTGGTAGTTCAAGGTGTACTCTGTTTCTCTTGTACAAATAATATTATTCTGTGATGCTAAAGCCTTGTGTTTTGATTATGTTTTAGCAATATTTTCTTCTTCTTTTATTGTATAACGTTATGACAGTTCAGGTTTTGGTGATAAAATATCTGAAACTAAGTTTACTGGATAAATTTATGTCCTCATTTGTCTTTGGGATGACAAACACTCTGCGCTCACAGCTCCTAGGCTAGCTTCGGTACTCTGATGATATATGATTTGCCTATTTTTCGTGAAATCAAACCAATATTTAGCTGTTTTTAGTTGGATGAGAAACTATATGTCATATAAATATATAGATAGATGAGTTGAAAGTTACAATGAGAAAATGTGTCTGGATGTATTCATGTACTAGCTTTTATTATTCTGAATGAAGCGTCTTCAACTTTTGTGCCATTGCAATTTTAGTTTAATTAAGATTATTCTTTTTAGGTCTATTTTCATTTGGAGGCCAAAAGCGAAGTCAGAAGTTAGCGAACAGAAGGATGAAAGGAAGATTATTGTTTGTGGAAGAGCTGAGAAAAAGCAGAAATTCGGTGATCAAAGTGATGATTCTGATGATGACACATGCAAAATGAAAGGCAAGAATATCAAGTCCAAGAAGTCTCGGAGTAAGTTAACTCCCAATAATCTTAAGCGTAAACGCTAAACGATAACAAGCCTGAGCTTCTAACAGCATCAACTGTCAATCACTGGGGCAAACTTTTATGCTCATTTTTTGAAGAAATCACCCTTATGCCGCTTCTGTACAGGTAGCCAACTTAATGTATAGTTGTCCTCAATAGAGCAGTAACTTATTTTGGCTATAAATGAACTAGTACTAGTTGGAGTCCATGCTTTTAATGGATCCCATTGTTTTTGTTATTGCTTAGTTCTGCAAAGAATCTGTCTTCCTGATGTATCAAAATTGTATATTTGTGGACAAGGTGGGTTATAGTAGCCTTTAGATTGTATTTTGTTTTAACCTGCTGAATTTGTTTTTGCTGCTGATTTAAGTAAGCATTTGATCTTGTAGATTGAAATTGCTCTCACCAACTTTCTCTCCCAGTACGAATGTGGTAGTTGTAATTGGTCAGTTCGAACGGGTTTATTGTCCGAATAGGTTTTGTTTGCTTAATTGTGAGTTAATCAATTGCGAAATGTCACGTTAAGGTTGTAAGAGAAAGTTTATAAGATTGGATTGTGAGCCAATCTTTATGTTCTGGAAATTTGACCTTTTGAGTATCCATAGGAGTTTATAACAATTTCCTCAAGGCATGAGGAAAGTTATGAAAACAACCAAGGGTTTTGTATAGTAACAAATACACCCAAAAATTGATTATTTTACCTATAAAGATTAAATACCCTTTGTCAAATTATTATATATTTTTTCAGTTTTATCTGCAATTTTTATTTTAAATATATAATATTAAAGAAATAATATTTGCAAAGAATCTGAAACTTTGTTTCAAAAAGACTTAGCATCCTTTATCTATTATACAGACTCTCCATTTTATTTATTTCACTTTTTGGTATGTAATTTAAGAGGAAAGTAATAAAAAATAAAAACAACCAAGGGTTTTGTATAGTAAAAAATACACCCAAAAATTGATTATTACCATATAAAGATTATATACCCTTTGTCAAATTATATATATATTTTTATTTTTTCAGTTTTTATTTCTTCAATTTTTATTTTAATATATAAATATTAAGAAATAATAACTGAAAAAAATCTGAAACTTTGTTTCAAAAAGACTTTAGTATCCTTTTACTTATTATACGTCACTTCCCATTTATTTTATTCACTTTTGGTAATAATTTAATTAAATTTAGGCTTATAATTAGACAAAGGGAATTATGGTAAAGTAATCAAGTTTGGATGCATTTGTATTTTCGGAACCCCTGGGTGTGTTCAACACGTTTTTCAACTTATAATACCTTTAGGGCTTTATAATTAGACAAAGGGTATTATGGTAAAGTAATCAAGTTTGGATGCATTTGTTATTTCCGGAAACCCTTGGGTGTGTTTAACACGTTTTTCAAACTTTGAAGAGGAAATTGCCATAACCGGTATGCATTATAATGATAAATCGATCAAGCAAGCACTTTTAAATTTCATTTTATTGAAAATTTGTTAAAGCTTATGATCTTCCTTGTTATGTAATTATTGTGGTGATTTTACATACAACTAAGAATATTGTAACTCAAATAAATCAAATATAAATCAAAATTGCTTGCAAATATAAATCAAAAACACCATCAAAACTTTATTCAACAGAAATTTGACACCAAAATCTTCGGATGCCTTTGGTTTATTATTTTGGATAGAATTTTGAGAATAATATTTGGTAGTTAAATAAGGGAGTATTACGAGGTAAAATTTAAAAATCTCTAAAAAACCTCCTAGGTTTGCTAATTTAATTAAACACCCTAATATATAAAATTTTTGTAAAATAACAAAAACACCCCCACCACCCGCAGTGCCAGATTCCTGTCACCATTGCCGGAATTTGGCTGAAAAATTGCATTATGACACAGACCTATCAGATCTGTGTCGTAACGAGGCAATATGGCCTTTTCCGATCAAATCTACCACGGATCTGGCCGGAAAAGGCCAGATGTGTCCGTCGACGCCCGCAAAAGCCCATCTATGGCCGTCAGCGACGGCCAAAGATATGGCCGTTATTGTCAGTCAACAATGGCTAAGATTTGGCCGTCTTTACCGTCAGCGACGGCCAGTTAACGGCCAGATCGGTGAATTATTGGCCTTTTTCGGTAGTGGTATAGACCTTTGTAATAGATTCCGGCTACCACTTACGGTGGTTATCAGAATCTGGTAAGTATGGGTTTAGGGGGTGTTTTTGTTACTTTTTAAACTTTTTTCTGGGTGTATTTAATGAAATTAGTAAACTTAAGGGGTCTAAAAAATTAAAAAAATACAATAATATTTCTCAAATAATGTACCAAACAATATTTAGGAAATAGGATTGGGAATATGAATAATAATATGGAACCAAATGCACCCCTATTTTAAGCCCTAATTTTTTTTTTTAAAATTGAAAATTACTATAATAAACATTTTTTTTATTATTTTGTATTACAATGTTAATATATAGATATTTTTCACCTCAAATTTTGAAGTGAAAAGGCTTTCTATATTAAGTATATATTATGCATGAAGTTAAAATGATAAGTCATTTATTTAAAAACAAATACTTTGGAAATTCAATTTTAAACTTATTATTACCTTAACTTGATAATGGAGAGAAACAAAAGAAAAGTACTGTATTCTAGATGGATTAGAAAAGATTCGTATAATTTTTTGAATCAATTTCTCTGTATTTTAAAGTTTGTTTTCCAGATAAAATTTATTTAAATTAAAGCTTAAAAAGACTGTTTTAGCCTCATATAAATTTGGAGATGAAATTTTATATTATTTAAAGCTATAATATATAAAGTAAACAAGTCTTTACAACTTCTTATAATTAAAATTAACATCAAAATTTGCCAAAATAATAATAATAATAATAAGAGTAATTAACGACAGAGGCTACGTGTCAATTGATCAGCCGTAACAGTATTAAAATCTCATCGAAAGAAGAGGGCAAAACCTTTTTGGAAACCCACATGCTTTAGTGATGAAAAGGACAATCTCGTCAATTTTCCGCTTAAAAAATGTTACGCTGCTAATTGATGACATAAAGGACAATCGCGTCATTTCACATATCTTCAAAATTCCCGGGACTGGCTCTAACAAACTCGCCTCTATAATAACACACCACGCACACTCTCTCTCTTCGATTTCGAGCTCTGGACACAGAGAGAGAGAGAGAGAGAGATACAGAGGCTACACATATGGCGGCCTCGAACGGGAGCGAGTACTTCGAGATTGAAATAGACAGCCGGAGAGAGTCGTTTGCACGGCCGTCGAATGCGGAGTCGTTGGAGGAGGACGAAGATGAGTTGATGTGGGAGGCGATCACGAGATTGCCGTCGCAGCAACGAGGAAACTTCGCCTTGTTGAAACGGGCGCCGTCGGAGTACAGCGAAGGAGACGCTAGAACTGAGACTATTGACGTGAGAAAATTGAGTCGAAGACACCGTGAACTCGTCGTTGAAAAAGCCTTTGCTACTAATGATCAAGATAATTATAATCTTCTCTCCGCAATCAAAAAACGTCTCGATAGGTTTCTATTCTTGTTCTTGTCATCTAATGTATTCAATATTAGATTATTAATATCATTAACGTTCTTAATTTTTAGAAAGATTAATAAAGAAAATATTTGAGAAGCATAAATAGTAGTTTCTAAAGAGTGTTTACTTTGATGGTGAAGGGTTGGATTGGAAGTGCCAAAGGTGGAGGTAAGGTTCCAGAACTTGAAAGTTGTGGCTAATGTTCAAACGGGATCAAGGGCCTTACCTACTTTGATTAATGTTACTCGTGACGTAATCGAGGTCAAGTATCTTTTCCTTTACGTGCTTCTTTGTTTTTTTCTATTTTTACTTTACCATATAGATGTACGTTCTTATATAGCCTTGAAGTGCGGTATTTTTTTTTTTTAGTTGCATCAGTTGAATTTGATCCCTTTTGTAACTTGTTTTGGTTTGAATGCAGAAATTCCTAACTGGTTTGAGAATATTTAGACCCCAGAGATATGCTTTGAACATCTTGAACGACATTAGTGGTGTTGTGAAACCCGGAAGGTACTCTTTTGATGTCTGAGTTCCACAAAATAATGACATTTTTATTTAATTTGATCACAGTCTATGCTGAAGATGTTATAAAAAGAGGTTTCAAACTCATGGGCTCTTTTTAGAAATGTGATGGCTTGTATATATCGGAGACCTATATACGCATATGTTTTAATTTGGTGCTTAACTTGTTGGGAAAGTTATTAGTTTCACGTGTTGTACATGTTAACACTAACCGTTCTATATCAGCCTTCATTTCGATGTGACTGTAATTGCTTGACTTTTGTAGGATGACCTTGCTCTTAGGTCCTCCTGGTTCTGGGAAGTCCACCTTGCTATTAGCTCTATCGGGGAAGCTTGACAGCAACTTGAAGGTTGGTTTATACTTGGTGCTATTCTGTACACAAAGAAATCACGTGTGTGTAACTTATCTTATGCCTTTAACATAAACTAATTATAGGCTAATAGAGAATACTTATTGCAACCATAAACAAATAGAGATAATAGAATCATAGAGAACAACCATAAGAGGTTTGTAAATTGTAATACGTTTCCTGGAAAGAATTATCATTTTTGAGAGCTGAACTTATGCCACCTTTTGGTTGGCTAAAGAACTAAAGTTGCAATGAATTTCTTTCTATCCATCATTTCTGCGTTGCAAAATTCTCGAGTCCTCTGTCCTAGTTGGTTGTATTGCAATATTTGATCTTATCTGCAAGCTTGCATTAGTTGTTAGTCAGTTGTATTGCAATATTTGATCTTATCTGCAAGCTTGCATTAGTTGTTAGTAAGTTGTATTGCAATATTTGATCCTATCTGCAAGCTTGCATTAGTTGTTAGTCAGTTGTATTGCAATATTTGATCTTATCTGCAAGCTTGCATTAGTTGTTAGTCAGTTTTGGTTGGTTACAGAAGTCAGAAGGGATATGAACCTCTTAATCACGTCTCTTTTAAACTTTCTTAATGAGGAACGACTCTACTTTTTAATATAATTATGTCACCTTGTAGCTAAACTAGAAAACTCATGGAAAAATGACGATAAAAATTTAAGGAATTTCGTTATTCAATGCCAATGTGCTTCACTAAGGGATAGATTTACTGTTCGATTTGATTATATGATCTTGTATATATCATTTGGATCAACATTTCTTTTCTTAATTACTTTTTACCATCATATGAAGTATCACAAATAGACATTTCGGAACTTCTATCCCATGGTCTAATTTCTATCTGTCTACAACTGGAATATGTCCAATTAGCGACTACATTATAACAGCTAGCTTGAGTCCCTCTTTTGCTTAACTAGTCTATCATATTGCAAGGCAGTGTTCGTGTGGAGCTAAATTTCTTTTGTTTACAGAAAAGTGGTGATATTACATACAATGGCAAGAAGCTTAATGAATTTTGTGTTCAAAGGACTTCGGCATACATCAGCCAAACGGATAATCACATTGCTGAGCTCACTGTACGAGAGACCTTTGATTTTGCTGCCAGGTGCCAAGGTGCAAGTGAAGGCTTCGCAGGTTTTTTCATTCATGATTATTAATTAATTCGAATCTTAGTCTTGATCATGTTGCATTTATTGAAATATTTATTGCATTGATCCTCATTCAGAGTTCACTAGTTTGTATCATGCTTTTAGACTACTAATAGAACTAATAGAATTGCTCAGCCTCGGATTCCATTTGAGAGAATTGTTTTTTAAAATTGTTTCTTTTAATCAATTGATTAACTATCTGTACACTTTTAATTTCTTATAATTGTTTTCCTTTTCTTTGCTTCGACGGGTCATTTTCTCTTAAATTACATTAGTTAATGAAACTATGTTCTCCATTTCCCTTTCCATCTTTACTTTACAGGATACATGAAGGATCTGACCCGTTTAGAGAAGGAAAGGAACATACGTCCAAGTTCAGCGGTTGATGCTTTTATGAAGGTTGCCAGTTCAAACTTTGTTACAGTGTAATCTTCTTTTATTATTTATTGGTGTGTATTTCCTAATATCTTAATTTAAGTTCAACTTTTTACCTCACAGGCATCCTCTGTAGGTGGTAAAAAGCACAGTGTTTCAACAGATTATGTTATAAAAGTGCTTGGTCTTGATGTATGTTCAGACACAATAGTTGGTAACGAAATGCTTAGAGGTGTCTCTGGTGGTCAAAGAAAAAGAGTTACCACAGGTCTTTCTCTCTCTGCATGCATTTGTGAATGTGTCTACATACTAGACTGTTTTTAAATGTCTTGCACCTATGAGAACTTTTGTATGTAACATATTCCATTGGAGATTGAAATAGTAAGAATTTTCAGCTTTGGTTGTAATACGTAACACGTTCCAAAGAATGATCTTTATGGAAAAACCTCAATTTAAAAGAAATTGAATATTAATTTGGACTTTGAAAGTATAGCAGTTTCCGAAATAACATTGATTCTAGACTAATTATGTTTCTGTTGCAATTTTTTTTAGATATATTAACATATTATTTTTAAATTTTATTGCGAATATATGTTACTGTTGAGTGTTGTACTTGGCTTTGAACTATGAGACAGGATTATTGAATGATATCTGGTCAGTTCTATGATATCTTGTATAATTTGCAGGAGAAATGGTTGTCGGACCAAGAAAAACCCTGTTCATGGATGAAATATCCACCGGACTTGATAGCTCCACCACATACCAAATTGTGAAATGTGTTCGGAACTTTGTTCATCAAATGGATGCTACTGTACTGATGGCTCTTCTTCAGCCAGCACCTGAGACATTTGAGCTGTTTGATGATCTGATACTATTATCAGAAGGCTATCTAGTTTATCAAGGCCCTCGAGCAGAGGTTTTAGAGTTCTTTGAGTCATTAGGTTTTCAATTGCCCGCACGTAAAGGGGTAGCAGATTTTCTTCAAGAGGTATATGGTTAAAGACTCTTATGTATTTAGATGTTCTTATACGATATTTTCCTAACACCTCTCTCCTGTCTTTCCTCTTCTCCTTCTTTACTTTAACAGGTGACTTCCAGAAAAGATCAAGCTCAATACTGGGCTGATCCATCAAAACCTTATGTATTCCTTTCCGTTTCAGAAATTGCAAAAGAATTTGAAAATTCTCGATTTGGAAGGTCTCTGCAGTCCACACTAAATGTTCCATATGATAAATCTATAAATCATCCGGCAGCTTTGTCCAAAACAAAATATGCTGTATCAAAATGGGAGCTTTTTAAAACATGCATTGCAAGAGAATTACTACTCATCAGCAGGCATCGTTTTCTTTATATTTTTAGGACATGCCAGGTATGTTTTAGCCTGTCATTTATGTGCTTCTCGCTTTTGTCAAACTACACATAACTGCAACATGTTTCAGTATAAACTGTTTTAACTACAAAGGGATAAACTATTACTTGGAAAATAACTTAAAATTGATTATTTGTAAGTTCATCTAGGTGATTTTACGCTGTTTTCTGACATAAATATCCTCTGTAGCGTATAATTATAAGGTTTTTCTTTCGAAGTTTCTTTCTTTCGTGGTTCTGCTTTCTCATATCTCTACCGTATTAAAGGTTGGATTTGTCGGATTTGTCACATGCACCATGTTCTTACGAACAAGACTGCATCCGATCGACGAGAAAAATGGCAACCTTTATCTCTCTTGCCTTTTTTTCGGGCTGGTACATATGATGTTTAATGGATTTTCTGAGCTACCTATCATGATATCTCGGTTACCAGTTTTTTACAAGCAACGGGATAATTTCTTTCATCCTGCATGGGCATGGTCTTACGCCAGTTGGATTCTTCGAGTGCCTTACTCCATCATTGAGGCTATCGTATGGTCTTGTGTCGTTTACTACACAGTTGGTCTTGCCCCCGAGGCTGGAAGGTATTGCCTTGCCTGATACATATGAAGTTTTTACTCTTCGCAGTTTCTTTGTATTTATAAGCTTTCCTTTTCATGTGTCAGCTTTTTCCGTTTCATGTTCTTGCTCTTTTCTATACATCAAATGGCATTGGGTCTTTTCCGGATGATGGCAGCTATTGCCCGAGATATGGTCATTGCCAACACATTTGGATCATCTGCTATATTATGTATATTCTTGTTGGGTGGATTTATTATGCCAAAGGGTATGCTTTATTTGCTTCATTTGATTATACAAAAATAGGTCCATTACTCATTTGGTGTTTCTTATTTCAGAAATGATTAAGCCATGGTGGGTCTGGGCATATTGGGTGTCACCACTATCCTATGGGCAGAATGCAATTTCTGTTAATGAATTTACTGCCCCAAGATGGCAAAAGGTGTGCTTATAAACATATGGTTATTCCAACTTTTGTAGCTTGTATATATGTGAAAGATTAACTGTAACATCTTACAGAAGTCTGCTATTGGAGACAACACGATAGGCTACAATGTTCTCCATTTGAGTAATCTCCCCGTTGATGGTCATTGGTACTGGATTGGAGTTGGTGCTTTGTTACTTTATGCATTGCTTTTCAACAATGTTGTGACGTTGGCTCTGGCCTACCTTAATCGTAAGTTGAAGGACGATGAAGTTTTGATTCTATATTTTTTCCATCATTCTATTTAAGAAAAATTTGATTGTTTATAGTAATACTTAGAGAAAATGTGCTTCTTTTTTCCGTTTATAACAGCTATTACAAAAGCCCGGACAGTGATTCCATTAGATGCCACAGAAGAAAAGTGTAAAACAGAGGGTTGTCACTCATCTTTCACCTTTTTCAATGGATGCTTTATTAGTTTTAATATTAGCAGATAGCTTCTTTCATTGGCTTATCCTACCAAAAATTGTTGTTCATAAATTAATTATTATCTGATTATTCAGTGGCCCGTAAGGATTCCGAATTAAGTAAACCATCTGCTGTAGAGGGTGATAGAAAAAAGGGAATGATTCTGCCATTTCAACCATTAACAATGACTTTCCATAATGTCAATTACTACGTTGATATGCCCAAGGTGTGTTCCTCTGGCAGCAACTTTGATTCCCTAGACGGTTGTGTATATCTTTAGCCAATCTAACTCTTTCACCTTTTTCTTTGGGGGTTTCTCAGGCAATGAGGTTGCAAGGTGTAACAGAAAAGAAACTGCAACTGTTATCAGACGTGAGTGGAGTATTCTCACCAGGTGTTCTTACTGCATTAGTTGGCTCAAGTGGAGCAGGGAAGACCACTTTGATGGATGTTCTGGCCGGTAGGAAAACTGGTGGTTACATTGAAGGGAATGTTAAAATTTCAGGTTATCCAAAAGAGCAACAAACATTTGCCAGAATTTCAGGATATGTTGAACAAAGTGACATACATTCTCCTCAGGTGACGGTTGAGGAGTCTCTCTGGTTCTCTTCTAGTCTTCGTCTGCCTAAGGAAGTTACCAAAGAGCAAAGAAATGTGAGCCATATGACAATCAGGACGTCTATATCTGCCATTTGAATTGTTTTGACATTTTTTAATTGCATTATTTCATTTCAATCTACTGCAGGAATTTGTTGAGGAAGTAATGAGATTAGTAGAACTTGATATTTTAAGGCATGCTTTGGTTGGTTTGCCGGGAAGTTCTGGTTTATCGACTGAGCAGAGAAAACGCTTAACAATAGCAGTGGAACTTGTTGCAAATCCTTCTATTATTTTTATGGATGAGCCTACGTCTGGACTTGATGCACGAGCAGCCGCAATTGTGATGCGAACTGTTCGTAATACTGTTGATACTGGACGAACCGTGGTTTGCACCATACATCAACCTAGTATTGACATATTTGAAGCATTTGATGAGGTTGGTCAGATTATAATTTTTCATATTACATTTTCTTCTTAAGTGAATGATTTCTGAATGATTTTTGGTTCGCATGCACAGCTGCTTCTCATGAAACGAGGGGGCCGGGTTATATATGGAGGGAAGCTTGGGGTCCACTCGAAGATAATGATTGATTATTTTCAGGTGACATGAATTTCCCTGAAGTTAATTATTCGCATTTCTTCATTCATGTACTTCTTTGTTTATTCTGACTGTTTGTCCTCGTGTTCTTTTTCCTCAGGGGATTAATGGAGTTGCTCCAATTCCAAGTGGTTACAATCCAGCAACTTGGATGCTTGAAGTTACTGCATCTGCTGTTGAAGAGAGAATCGGTGTGGACTTCGCAGATCTATACAAAGATTCCGAGCAATATAGGTTGTTTAGTTGATACCAGTTCGTTATTCCAACCAAGATGTCATTGCACCAAATATGTTCGTTTTTACTTTTTCAAATGATTCTTGTATATAATTTGTATACTTTCTGTAGGGAGGTGGAATCTTCCATTAAGAATTTGAGTGTTCCACCTGCTGGCTCCGAACCGTTAAAGTTTGCTTCCACATATTCACAAGATCAGTTTTCCCAATTTTGGTTTTGTCTGTGGAAGCAAAATCTTGTATATTGGAGAAGTCCCCAATATAATGCCGTGAGGTTAGCCTTTACTACGGTGGCTGCATTCATTTTTGGCTCTGTGTTTTGGGATGCTGGTTCACAGAGGTAAATTCTACTCTGATCTCATGAACTGGGGTTATTTAATTATTTTCAGATATATACACCTTGTCTGGCATTTGTCATGATTGTATTATACTAATCGTCACGGTTTCTTTGAGTTCTATTTTCTTGAAAAGTTCCCTTCATCTTTTTCCTTGTGGATAACTAGATAGAATGGTTAAAATTTGGATCATGCTTGACTTGGCCATTGGGTATAACTATAATACTGGCATGCTAAGGGGTGGCACAGGAATAATGTTAAACCACCAGAAAGTTATCTCTTTTCCAATTAGTTTGAAAGAATGAATGATTTTATAGGCTCACTGTTAAGAGTCCATTCAAATATTTAGGATAAGAAAATGTCTTGGAATAATTCATCTGTTTGTTTCTGATATTAGTCTAATGACATATGAAACCTCAATGCCATCTAGGTTAATAAGGTGGTTGATAATTAATATTTTATGGTGGTATATACATTCCATATAAATGTTTTAAGAATGGTTTGTCATTTTCTTTTTTTCTCCAAGCAATTTTCTATATGGAGGTATTAAATCATTTAATATAATAATGTTCTTTAGGGACTCAACTCAAAGTTTAAGACTGGTTATGGGAGCTCTGTATTCTGCATGCTTGTTTCTCGGGGTCAATAATGCTTCCTCAGTACAGCCTATCGTTTCAATTGAGAGGACAGTATTCTATAGGGAGAGAGCTGCAGGAATGTACTCCCCCTTTTCATATGCAGGAGCCCAGGTACCTTTCATGACATATTACACAGTTAATTGTGAAAATAAAAATAAAAATGAGTGATGAAATGGCATTTCTCTTTGTCATCAGGGTCTTGTGGAGATACCATACATAGCTGCGCAAGCAATTTTATATGGCATAATCACTTACTTCATGGTTAATTTTGAAAGGACAGCAAGTAAGATTCCAAGTTCCAGTTTTATCTTTTACTTTTTATGAATTTGATGGTGTCTTCTCTGTGTAGAGGGTGTTGTTTCATATATTTTCTTTCTTGATATCTTTGTTTTTTCCAAGCTAGAATTGAGAAAAGTAGACTTTTCCATTAGTGGGAAAGACTAAGGGGATGTACTTATCATAAATTAGATGAATAACATAGAGAAAAACATGTTTTTTGTTTATTCAAAAAAAAGGTGATTACTAGGACTTTCTGCAGAATGTCTCTAGTGTACATTGATATGGTAGCTCTTTGATGTTCTTTATTATTGATCCAAAAAACACTCTGGTTAATGGTTTTGATTAAAGAAACATTTCTTTTATATTGCAGTAAAATTTTTCTACTACCTTTTGTTCATGTTTCTCACCTTCACGTACTTTACCTTCTACGGCATGATGGCTGTCGGTCTCACTCCCAATCAACACTTGGCAGCAGTCATTTCTTCTGCATTTTACTCAATATGGAATCTCCTTTCAGGTTTCCTTGTACCTAAACCGGTAAGTGTTTTTAACAAGTTAATTGAAGCTTCAATTTTATTCATCTCAAGTCTGTTAGTCTCAATTGTTTTATGGGTCAAATCACCAAAACTTTGCTCTATCCCCTTTCTTGAGAGCAAATTCAGACACTGGACCTATGTTTCAAAGAAGTTGCTCTGATTTTAACCAACTTTATGGTTGTTTTAAATATTTGTATTAGGATATTCCTGTATGGTGGATTTGGTTCTACTATATATGTCCTGTTGCATGGACTCTAAGGGGGATCATCACTTCTCAGCTTGGAGATGTAGAAACCATGATTATGCAACCTGACTTTCGCGGCACAGTTAAACAATATCTGGAAGTTAGTCTAGGCTATGGCCCTGGGATGATTGGAATTTCAGCACTAGTGCTTGTTGGTTTCTGTAGTTTATTCTTTGGCATCTTTGCCTTCTCAATCAAATTCCTTAATTTCCAAAGAAGATGATACCCAAATCACAGATTTCAATTCATAGAGGATGAAAATTAAAATCATTGGCTTGAACATTCATTTGAAGGCATCAAAGTTCAGCCATAACAAAATTTTTTTATGCCTCCTCCAGGACTATTATTATTCACAGTCTGATTACACTTTCTATTTCCCTAGATAAAAATTCTAAGTGTGATATTGATTTGCCCCGATCAAATTACAAGAATGTAGAACAATTTTGTCTCTAATAGTTTTTTTAGGTATGTTAAGATGTAGAGATTGTTAGAAGAAACTTATATTATTTGAACTACAAGAGATGTTAATTTACATCTCCTTTGAGGTGAATGGTTAAATTTTCATAATTTTTATGTATTTATTCATTTTTGTGTGCTTAAGTTATCTATCCTTTTATAAGATATAAATATGTTTTATGTGGGGGATGGTTGCATCTTGCGTGACACACAAAAACAAATTTTTGAGGAAGATTGGTCGAATAACTACCCCTAGGTGGCCCGATGGGACAATAGAGACTCTTGAGTTCGATTTCTCTCAGTTGCTAATAGGGGTGGTCATTGGAGAGTTTACCCAGTCATTAACTTTAAAGCTCTGGGAAATTAGTTGAAGTATACGTAAGCTAAAACGGACACCCTCAATCACCAATAAAAAAAAAAAGATTGGTCAAATAAAGCCCATAATGGGTAGTAATATCAACCAGGGTATACTTGGTTTGAATTTTAAAAGTCCCCATTTTGAGTGAAGACTAGTTTATACTTTATAGAAGTGTTTTTATTGATTCCATGAGACCTAAAAACAAATCCATGAGAGTGAAGTATATTTGTAAAGCACAAAGAGAATTACTTTATATGAGTCCAAACTAGTACAGTTGGTATTAGAACCAAGCTACTATAAATTTACCTTAAATTGAATGGTGTCAGTTCTGTTCTGTCATTGAATTGCCAGGCAGAGACCAAGCCTTGTAAGATTAATGTTGGGATATTTGAATTAAAGGCTAGTTTTAGCTATAACTCTATACCACTCCAAGACAAGATGAGTAAAAGAAGGGACATATTTGTGGAACACAATGCAATTTACATTTATTTAATAAACATGCACATCATGTATTTCATTATCATCAAAGCAAAATCAAACATAAATATTAGTCAACCAGCACATGCAAAGATCCTGTAGAAACCCACCTCCTAATAATTTCCATCTCCTGTGTGGTGCACCACTTTCTCTCCCAAACTTTTTTTTTTTTTTTTTGATTCCAAAATGAAGTCAAACCCCACCTCTCTTAAGGAACTAGTTTTTCATCTCTCATGGAGTCAATCCAATACAAGATTGAATCCAATGTGTTGTACTTCAATTTGAACCCAAATCTATCAGCTTTATCTCTGGTACCCAACATTTTCACAGGACAACGAAACAGGATATCCAAGAATGCCCAGTTGGCCAAATCTTCCATCTCCGTTTCAATTAGTCCTTTCTTTTCCACAATTTCTTTCCATACTTGTTGCTTGTCACTCATGGCTTTTGTGAATGTAAACTCCTCCAAGAACATGTTTTGAGGCACTTGTAAACCAAACTTGAGTCCAAGACTTGGCCAGATCTCCTTCCATGTAAATCTTGGACCATTGATTGCATTAAAAGCTTGGCCATCAGTGGAAGAAACTTCCTCATTTGTGGCTGCCCAAATGTGTTGTTCCGCCACTAGCCGAGCATCCGAGCCATCGATGCACATCTCTTCCCAAGACTCTCTCGTCCCTCCAAACAAAAAGGGTAGCTTTAAATGTTTGCAAATTGATCCATAGACACATAAACTTCCCATGAAGTTATAAAAAGTTCTGCAAGAACTGCCCATCAACACGCCGGGCCTGTGCACAGACCAACCCACTTTTCCTGCAAGTTTCTCCTTGAGCAAGTCTTCTAAATCATAATAAAAATGTTGGGTTGCTCTTGGTCTTGGATATTCTTCACTGTAAAACCGAATTTCCTTGTCAATAAAAGGGCCTTGAAGTGACACATAATGCTTCATTCCAGTTTGGAGGGACACATGTTTCAAGGCCTTGGCTTTTGGGAGAATCGCATTCAAGGCATTGGACATCATGCCCTTGTTCTGAATACAACAAGCTTGAGCATCAAACATAAACTCTTTAGCCCAAGTGACCCAAAACACATGTGTAACATCTCTCAACAAACTCAACTTTTTCTGAGTCTCTAAAGGATCCAACAGGTCACATGAAATGAAATGATAGTTACAACTTTGGATTGGTTTTATCTCAGGATTGCGAGCTACACCATAAACCTTCCATTTGGATGTCGAGATCAGCCTTCTAGCCAATTCCTTCCCAACAAGCCCAGTAACTCCAAAGATGATTGCAACATTTTTAATAAGATCTCCTCTTCCTGCAATATTGGAATCTCTGGCTGCCATTATTTAAAACTTGGCTGTGTTTTTGCTTGAACAATATCATATATAGATGACCTATTTATATTGTAAGTTGTATCTTACTGTTTAATGCTATCATCTAACAGTCTTTAGAAGGGTCCAACAATAAACCCAATTGGAATAAATGGTGAGTTCCCTTCTTTTGAGGAGGTTTCTTGGATGAATTCATGCTTGGGTATGAAGGGAATAATTTGATCCTAGCCGCTAGTTGTAATCAAAGTAAGCAACATTCAATATTAAAAGGGCTTCCTTTGATGTTAAAAAATAGTTTCAGAAATTCATGGTTGAACAAATTCGATTTCTGATTGGGGTTTTGTTGAATAAAAAGGATTGTTGAATAGGATTGTGACCCTGGCCGGTAATATGCTGGCATTGCGGATACAACAAGTTTTAAAATACTTAGTGCCTCAATCAATCAAACCCTAGTTTGTCAATGACTCAATATATATCTCTTGGATTCATACAGCTAGGCAGCTAGCTTTGCTGTGCAGTTGTTCTTCATCATCTCCTCTTTTTCGTCATTAGAAAATTGACCATGTTTCTCACATGAATCACCAAGAAAAGCAAATTCAAAGAAATGGGTTTCTTGTACTATTTGTATATTGATTACTCTATTGTTTCAACAACGCCGCTTACCCACATGTATGAGTTTATTGATAAAGAATCTTGATGAAGGTTTTTTTTTTTTTTTTTTTTTTTTTTTTTTGGGGTCAAACTCATTATCTATATGTTGATGCGTGATTTAGACACCAACTATTGACATGTGTGCAGCGTTGTTTGAACAAGGAACAGACTGATATGGATTATGAATAAAGAATAAGCAATGAGAGTTTTTAAGTGGTTCGGATGCTAAGGTAGCATATCTACTCCACTATGTGTATTGATATAGTGGGTCAGGTCGCTAAAGCGACTGACTTCAAATGATTGAACAGTCAATACAAAGCTTTGTTAGTGAGAGAGAGAATACAAATGTAAAATGATCGAATCCCCTTTGAATGGGTCTTTCCTCTTCTTACACCAAGCTAAATGCCTGTAATGATCATTAAATCCTTGGGTTGGTGTGTGTGTCAGGATGTAATCTGGCTTTACGTCCCATTACCCATTTTCCAAGCCGATTTCACGCGATTTGGAGCAGGTTAGCGGACACGTGGGAGCACCAGGGCGTTTGGCAGGCCTGACGTGCGCTTACCGTTCTGAAGAGAGCAGGCCACGTTTCGTCACGCAACTCCACGTCAGCCTTTGATTTCTCAGGCATAACACTATATATATTGGTGATCAGGGAGTTGAGGCAAACTTACGGGCACCTCAACTAATTCTAAGACTTTAAAGTTAACGGTCGGGTAAACTTCCAATAGCCAACCTTATTAGCAATCAAGGTAAATCGAACTCAAAACCACTCGGTCACCCAAGAGTGGTTAAATTTTATATATCTTTCATCCACCATTTTGCTATCAAACTTCAATTAACTACAACTTGATTAGCTAGAGGTCATCTCACGTTCCTGACTTAGGTAGATGTTGTGATTAGAGCCAACAAGAAGCTAAAATGGTGTTGGCAGCCATGGGAAATGGTGTTATATTTTTGCACAAGTTGGGGGGGTGAATAAAAAGGCAGCTTTGAAAAAAAGAAAAGAGAGATGGTGGACATGCAACCACGTATGGGTATGGAATTAGCAAGAATGAAGTACGGTATGGATGCACATGAAGTATTTGTTTGGCTCATGGCTGGAGGAAATTTCGCCGCGATTGCATACCAAATAGCCTATTTGTCCCTAGCAATGGACTCTAATTCAGCTAAAAACAAGCTTTTAACAGAACAAACATGGCGCCAGGATAACTAAACTAGAGGGACTGATAGCAACATTTAGCTTACTACTTTTGCCTAACATTCCAAATGTTTACTTGTTGAGTAAGTCTTAAAAGTTTATTATTATATAACAAAAATATAAGATTATAATATAAGAAGTAATTATAATAATATTAAGAGAAAACGACATATTCTCACATAAGGTTTAGCGAAATCCTATATTGATACTCATAGTTGTATTTATTCTAAATTTTCATCCTTAAAGTAAAGTCATTTATTTTATTTTAACAGATTTTAACTTTTTACTGTAACATGACGCATATTAGCACGTTAAAGTATGCTGATGTTTTCTTTGGCAAAAAATGGGCTCATATTAGCAAAAAAATGCTCATATTTGTAGCATCTAAGCCGATAGTTTTTTGGCTTTTTCCAACCGATTTCAAAGTCTAAAATCACTTCCGAGACCACCGTTGGACTCCCAATAATCTCCTCTACAAAACTCATACCTTCACTTGCCGACCTCACTCCCTATTTCTAACCACCTCCAATAGTTACTAAAAATGTTAGTTTAAAAGTAAAAATCTGGAATAAATACAACCAAGAATATCAACTTAGGATTTCGCTAAATCTCGGGTAAAAATATGCGGATTGCTCTAATATTAATAACGGGAATGCACAAGTTTACACATGGAGTTTCTTGACCCAGCCCACTTTCGTCTGTGGTTTATCTGGCCCAGGATGTCATTTAAAGAACAAAATTCTGCAAAAGTAGAGATAGTAGTTCAGCTCTAAACGTCTAATGCTGCTCAGGATTTCTCAAGAGAAAAATACGAAATTTCAGGATTTTTATTACAGGATTTGACAACCTCCCATAAGCAGAGTTTTTTTTTTTTATTGAATGATTATTACATGGCCCAGAATTGGCATTTATATCGGCTTCAGCAGCATTGGAATAAGAAGAACTTGAACTAATTAAGATACATACACAACAAAACCCACAGAGAGAAAATTCGGATGCACCTTTTTGCCACAACTTTGAGGAAATTAGAAGCAAATACATTATTACAAATTTAAGGCATTAGAGAAAGATTTATATACAAACACTTTACTCATTTCTTCTCCAAATAAAGTTTTTTTGAAAGAACTTCAAAACCTACCAAGTCCCTCTCACTGTGCCATAGGATACTCCAATTAATTTTCGAAACGAAAACGAAAACCGAACCGAAAACTTTTATCACATGAACATGGTGTGATAAATTAACCAATGCAATATCCTCTGATTTGGGGTATAAACCCTAAGCTGCCATGAATCTGATGGACGGTTTAGCTCCCAAATTGTTAGTGCTTTCACCTTAATGTCAAATAATTACACAACATTAGTAAAGACCAAATGAAATCCTATCGTGAGCAAGATTCAATCATATTCTATTCAACTCAAAGCTAAACCAGTTGTCCAATGCAATTAATTTTTCGGCCATATTAGATTCTAAAACCTTTTGTACAACTTTAAAAGACCGGATTAAATATGATAATAAGTGAGGGTACTTACTTTGTGGAATTTTGTGAACGAAAAAGCAGGCAGCAATGGCAATGTAGCAGAGGAAGAGAATCACTCCTTTCATGTAATGGGAAGTTCCATCCTGAGAATTAATTTGATGAAAGCATATACACAGTTCAGTTAAGATAAAAGAAAACAAAAAATACATAAAAAAATTTTGGGTGGAAATTAAACCTGTAAAGTGAAGGCTGTAATGATAATTGTGAAGGCCAGAGAACCAGTTTCAAGGAGACTGAAATCAAGATCCATGGAGACTCCCATTATCCAGGCAGTGATCACACATAAAGGAACCTGAAAATGATAATAATAAAATAAATTATGTTGTTTGGTGAGAAAAATTGAACCTGAAAAGGAAAAAGAAGAAATTTCCCTTACCACAAACATAGAAATTTGAGAAGCAGATCCTAGAGCAACACCCAAAGAGATGTCCTGCATTATACCCAGAAGTTATCTTGAAATAACATCACACAAAAGTGAACCAAAATAATTGGTAAAAATTTGATTTATGTCAATACCAGCTTGTTTTTGAAAGCAAATATGATTGATCCTGCATGTTCAGCAGCATTGCCCACGATTGGTAGCAATATTATGCTGATAAAACTAATAGAAATGCCCCAAGAATCCGAAGCAGCCTGGTTGAAACAATTACAAAACAGTAGATCAAAACCAAGCTGTTCAAATTTCTTATATAGAACAGATATTTATATCTGTATACGTACCTCAATTGTGCCCACAACATACTCTGATAGCACAGCAATTATGGCTGTCATACCAACCAACCAACTGAATGCACTCCAAAATCCAATCACTGCCTTTTCTTCTTCTTCTTCTTCTTCATCTTCCTGTTTATTTCAGCAAATGCACTTAGTTTATTGGGAATATGATTCTAAATGCAGTGAACTTCAACTAACATTTTACTTTTAAAGGCCCACAAGAATCTTCCTTTTTTAACATTTTTGTCCCCTCTCTTTCTCTCTCTTTCTGTTTGTTTGTGGGTTAAAGTTATATAAGACAAGTGACATGCAAATTCCGAAGTCTGTACAAATAATGAAGTGTCATGCATTCGAAGGAAATAAAATTGGTGACTTCAAAACAATTAATGTGTGCTTTTTTACCTCTTGAGATTCGAACAGCTGCCTGTGAGTTTTGAGCTGGAAGACGATATATGAAATATATGCCACAAGCATAACAATGCTGCTTGCTCTTGATAACTGAAGGGTTGAGTTAGCGGTGAAAGTCCCTGGTGGTGCAGAATATCTGAACATCAATGGCAACATGTGACACAGCAACCCCAGCAACAGAAGCAGCGAATTCACATCAGCCTGCTTCTGTTAAACCATAAACAAACAGATTAAGTAATTACCCACCTAGCTAATATAATAATAAACTCCACTTCAAGAAAAAAAAAAAAAAGATAGGATAATAAGGATTTCACAACATGGATCATATATCAGAGTAAGTGTCTTACTCGATCGTATCTTTGCTCCTTTTTCAGGTTAGCCAAGCCTCCACAGAGAAGAGAGGTTCCAAGAACAAGAAGGAGATTTGAGAGGATGGAACCCAAGAGGGAATATTTAAGAACATTTATTTTGTTCTGGTAAAGAGCTAACAATGCTATTATCAGCTCTGTTGCATTACCACATGTTGCATTAAGAAGCCCCCCAACTGCAAATTAATCTTCATTTAGATTCATTTCTTAAACAAATATAATTTTTAAACATTTTCCTCAAAGAATCAAGACTCAATTATCGGTACCTGTTGGGCCAGTGAAGTATGCAATTTGTCTGTTTCAATTGAAGAAAAAGAAAATAGAAATAAATTGTCAGAAAATTTTCACATATTTTAATCATAGATTTAGAAAATTCTACGTGTACTTACTCAGTGAGGAAGCTGACACGCTCAGCCAGTGGGGTAAGTCCAAGTAAACTCAAAGCAAATATCCAAGGCTACATGTCATGCAACAAATAAACACAGTGAGCAATATAAAAGAAAAGAAAAAGTATCTTTTAAAATCAACATCAATCGATTTCATTCATGAAACTTACTCTTCCAAACTTATAAAAGTCTGCAACTACAGCTAGAGGAATTGCAGGGAAGAGCACAGCAAGCTTAGTACCAAGAATAACCTCTTGCAAATTGGCCAGGAATTGTCTAAGTATATTGAACCTAACATTTGACACAAGCATCGGATCGGATTTCTTCCTTAACATGGAAGATGACATAGTTTGAGGTGTCTTTACATTCCAAATCTCCTTTCCGGAGCCCTTATTAGCCTCACCATTTTCCAAGTTACAGACCTCTTGATCAGAATACTCATCAGCCATTGTTGTAATAATACTATCAGCCTGGCCAACCTCGCTAGCTAGGCTTCTATTTCTCCAGAAATACGAAGAGAAAATGAACAAAGTAAATCGTCCTTGGTGGGTTAATTTATATAGAGAAAAGTTATAGAGGATAAGTACAAGAGTTGCATGCCGCAAAGATCCACGTAGAGTACTGTGTCTTATTACAGTATAGGCAGCTTCCTGGAATTTTCGCAGACTTTGTTTCCATTACTGCATGGTTACAAGTGTTAAGCCTAATGGTGGTGCATGCTTATAAGGTGGCAACAAAACCATTTATATATTATTGTAGTTAAGTAAATTAAGAGATAGCACTGTCCTCATGAATCATAAGAAGCCAAGAAGGAAAGTGTTTCTGTTACTTTCTTTCTTTTTCTTTGTTTATTAAATTATTAGTTAAAAGTAAGAACCATACTATATATGGAAGGTGAATAATTAAAAACCAGAAAAGAATTCATTGATGCCAGTGGCTTCACAAAGACTTGGTAATTATAAACAACTGAAACTGCCATATTTACTGACCCTTCAAGATCTGGGGTTCAAATCAGCCAAGAATTTGACACATCCTATATTATTAACTAAAGACCTTATCCCGTGAAGATGAAGGATGTATTTGCTTGTAAACAACATATACTCGGACAGTTTTCTGATAATACTCTTTATTAATTTGACCTAATTATGATAATGAGGACGTATTTGCTTGTAAACAATATCTACTCGGACAGTTTTCTGATAATACTCTTTATTAATTTGACCTACTTATGATAATGTTGAAGGTAAATATATCTGTTTATGCTTAAACTAAAATATTCGTCAATGGAGATGGCTGATACATATGGTTCAGTGTGGCTTTGAGGATAGCTCGAGGGAGCAAGATTTTTGTACTGTGAAAATTAGAACCTTCGAGGCATTTTCATGGGTTCATCGGGAGGGAATCAAAGGGTTTGCATTTATTTGCCGGAGTTTAACCAAAAAAGGAAACAAAGGACAAGAGAATGCATGGATATAGCAAGTTGCCATTTCATTGGTTTGATCTTCACCGAGGAATCAGAAACTTGAAGGAAATTTCCTCATCTTCATCTTCACAATTTACACTGTCCGCGTCCGGCCAATACGGCTTATTAACCCCCGTGACCGATCCAAAGATTTTCCCCATCTCTAACTATGAAACAATACTATTTTCTTTTCTTTATCTTGAATTTATGTACTCTAAAGTCTAAACTAATGGCTTAATCAAAAAAGGGTATAAAAATTCCTTAAAAAATAAAAATTATAGACCATAGTCTTAATTTGGGATAATATTACATGTATATATATGTATAGATATGTAACTTATAGTAAATTAAATTTATTCCAAAACAATTCTGGGAAGAAACCTTAGTTACTCTCTCCTTATAAACGGATGGTAAACTCTTTAGTCATTCGAGTTAGCTATACCTAGAAGTTTTGTGTTTAAGTCACGAGAGACCCATTACTGGTTACCCAAAAAAAAAAAAAAAAAAAAAAAAAAAAAAAAACCTTTAGTTATCTGATATCATAGTCGTTATCGCCATTTTTCAGCCTATTATACAACAACCCTAATTATTTTGTTATTTTGCTTATTTTAGGAGGTACCTATGGCTTATATATCTTTAATTTCTAAATTAATTTAGATTCAAGCTTCTACATGTTTATGATGGAGATGTAAAGTTTTTGTTGTTTTGACTTTTTTTTTCGATAAAATTAATCAACTTGATAAAACCCTCATCCTTAAGTCACTTACCATGCAATGCTGATGAGCATTTGCAAAGTTTAGGAGGATGTAGTGTTATCAAAATACTTCATATTTATTTCTAGTTTTGGGGAGATCTGTTAAGAAACTCAACCTTTTGGGTTAATTTGTAATTTATGATAAACTTGGTGCTCTAAAGTGAGGAAAACGAAATGTTGGTGCAAATTCATGATTCCAAAATTATAGGGGTAGAAGGTTCATGAGGAAGCTAAACCAGTTGTCAGAAAATTGCGTAAATCATTGATTAATACTGTTAAAAAAAAAAAACGCGCGAAGGAAGAGAAAGGAAAAAACCCTAGAAATGGCAGAGAAATTGGCGCCTGAAAAACGTCACAGTTTCGTTCACAACGGTGAGTGTCAGTTTCTAATTCCTTCTGTTTCTATGCTTCTTTGAGACTTTTTTCTTTAATTTTTTTTTTATTTTTGTTTATAGGTCAAACGGTATTTGAATGGGATCAAACCCTAGACGAAGTGAATATGTACATAAATTTGCCGCCAAATGTTCATTCCAAGCAATTTTACTGCAAGATTCAATCTAAACACGTTGAAGTCGGCATCAAAGGCAACCCTCCTTATCTCAATGTTAGTATTTCGTTATTTATCCCCATTTATTTTGTGTTTTTTTTTTGTAAATGTTTTTTAATTTTGATTTTTTTGATAATTTTTGTTTCTGTTGTACTTACATTCATTTCATTGCAGCATGATCTCACCTGTCCTGTGAAGACGGATTCTTCCTTCTGGACCTTGGGTAATTTTTTTTATTTTTTTATTTTTTTGGTGTTGTTTTTTGTTTTAGGGGGGCGGGGGGTGGGGTGTGGTTTTGGGGGTGTTTACATTTATTGGAAATTCTATGTAAGGTTTATAATATGGAGAAGGAGAACCCACTTTATTGAAGCCAAATAATTGTATGGGGCGAGGTCTTAACTGATGATAGTGATACAAGTTTATGCACAGTTAATTGAATTGTGGGTTTTATTGCAGAGGATGATGTAATGCATATAACACTGACGAAAAGGGACAAGGGTCAGACATGGGCTTCGCCTGTATTGGGTGAGGGTCAGCTGGACCCTTATGCCTCGGATCTTGAGCAGAAACGGCTCATGCTTCAGAGGTTTCAAGAAGAGGTGATTATCACTTTAACTCTTATTCTTATAGTGGATAATATGTTCCGGTGTTTTTCAGATTTTCTTATAGTGGATGTTATGTTCAGGTGTTTTTTAGGTATTCTTATAGTGGATGTTATGATCAGATGTTTTTTAGGTATTCTTATAGTGGATGTTATGTTCAGGTGCTTTTTAGGTATTCTTATAGTGGATGTTATGTTCCGGTGTTTTTTAGATGTCTTATTCATCATTTTGCTTAATGTAGTTGCTAGCCTTACAATTGGGTTGCTTACTAGTTCTTTCACTTTCATTCTACTTTATGAATTTGGAAACTGGTTGCAAATGTTTGTTATCCTTATCTTATGATTTGGTGTGATGAGGTTATTTTGCTAGCAGTAACTCATGAATGTGAAACTGGGGTTTCCATGCAACTCCACTTGTGGTAACATATTTATAATGCTACAAGCTACTGAATGTTGGGTTAGGTTATAGCCAAAGACTGAGGGATTGCTGATACTTTTGAGACAAAATCTGTTCAGATGGAACCAGTTCTACAAAAACAGATTTGATTTTATTGCATCAGAGCCTGTTTGTTATGTTCTTTCATTGCAGCGATATCTAAAGTCTTCAACAGTGCTTGTTTGGTGGCCAATATCTTCACATTTTTTGTTTTGGCTGTTGTGTGTCCGTGTAGTTATTGATAGTGGCTTGTGTTTAATACGGACTTTCATTGCATTACATGGATTGTGATGTGACCATGGTGCTTTCTTATGATCCTTTTGGATTTAATTTTGTGTTTCTGGATATAATCCTGTGTTTCTAATATGATTATAGAAAAGTGCCAAATTTCTTGGAAGTTCCTAAGCAATATCGTCCTTGGAATTCTTTATTTATTTATTTTTTACTGTGTAATTCTCTTCATTCAGTTAAACTGATGAAAATTTGCTTATCTTGATTCTATTGAAAATATACTGAATTACTTCATTTCAATGAAGTTCCTAATGATTTGAAGTAATACTAATTATTCAACTTAGATTTTGTTTGTCTTAACAACCTTTCCTGCTAACAAATCATTGCTTTCTGCAGAACCCTGGTTTTGACTTCTCGCAAGCACAGTTTACCGGTAGCTGCCCTGACCCAAGGACCTTTATGGGTGGAATTCGCTCTGATTGACAGTCTCGGTATGCTGCGTTGGCTATTTGCATTGATCCTGTTATAAATCCTGACCATGTTTTCGTAAATAAAACAATCTTTTGTCCATTGGTGTTTATGCAGTCTCTGTAACAACTTTATTGACCACATATAATGTTTGTGGTCACTTGTGCACTAATTACTGTCCTGTTTATAGCAACGCAGAATAAATTATCAGAAATTCCTATCTAATCATCTGTGTGTTTGTAGCCTTGTGTTCCTTTCACTATCAAGGCGAGTCTAGACAGATTTTATGAAGTACAATTTATTAGTCTATTGGAACTTGGAACAAGTAAAATCAACGTAGTAAATCAGAGTCTTAGCAATTGAGAAACATCAGCTAAATGCTGAGGTTTAATTTAGAATGGATTTATTATTATGATGAAGTTGTTCACAAATTCTCTTTATGCATGCTTACAGATTGCCAATTTTATCTGCTATCCATTCTGGCAGAATCGAGAATTCATGTTATTAGCTGGTTACACAGCTCAAAACTGGTTTCAGATCTGCTATGTGAATTGGGTAAAACATTGCAAAGGAATATTTTCTGTTTTTTTCAAAAAAAAAAAAAAAAAGAAAAAGAAAAAAAAGGGGTTTCCATTGAAAGTTCTGTAGGGAAAGAATCATATTCTAAAGCATAATACCATACTGATAGAAAAAGAAATTGAGAAGTACTCGAAAGATAATACTGGGAAAGTGATCATATTCCCCATTGATTATTAGTGTTATGTATTAAACCAATCTACGCAAGTATGTAGTGAATATTCTATTTGAACGATGACTGTGAGTTAATATCTGGATCGGCTTTAATCTGCATATTTCTGAGTTTATTACATGTGGACCCAATTGGCAAAAAGCCTACCACTCATTGGAAGAATATTATGCATCATAATATAAATCTTTTTGTGCAAAATTTTGCAGTTCTGATTTTATTTATTGTTTTATAAGTTTGAGGATTGAAATTTGTTGGGTCAGGTACAAATTGTTTTAGTGTAAACATAAAACGTGTAATGACCCACTCATGGGTAGTCTAACAGTAAAGGCGAATCAAGAGGGTTAGGTTTGATTTTTCTTTGGATACAAATGTAGTACTTGTGCTCATGATTTGCTCGAGAAACTATGGCTTACTGATTAACTTTATATTTGTACATTTGATCCAGATGATTATGTTGACAATAATTTACATTTATCCAAATGTTTTGTTTAATGTAAATATTCTCCTCTATTAATTTCCAAATTGATTACTGAAATGGTTAAACAAAACTAGAAAATATTTTTCCGATTTGGAATATCAATCTCTTTCTCCTGTGCACAACTCAAGGCTGGTAACAACGACCTCCCCTTCATTCTCATTTCTCATCCCCTAATTTTCTCATAACTTCACCATCAAACAGAAAAAAAATAATAATAATAATTCTCAAGCTCCTTCTTTTATATATATATATATATATAAACAAAGCTGACATACAAATCTTTTAACTGGCGCGCGTCCTCGACTATCGACACATATTCAACATTCACCCTCCCAAATCACCCACGAAAGTGTCACGAAACCAACTTCATTATGTTTTCTATTTTCAGCACGCAGCCCCATCTCCCTCTCTAAATGGTCGCTCTCTCACGAACCTCAACTCCTTTTCTAATTCTCCGCCATGGTTAGGCACCAAAAAGACCCGCAAAATTCCATCCACAGTGTCCTAATCGTCGGTAACTACTGCCACGATGTTCTTCTTCAAAACGGCACCGTTCTAGCTGAATCTCTTGGTGGGGCTGCCTCTTTCATTTCTAAAGTTCTCAATGGCTTGTCTATTTCCTGTAATTTGGTTTCTAAAGTTGGCCGAGATTTCAAGTACGAAACTAGTTATGCCCCAATTGTGATAACCAGTTCGAAGACAACGGTTTTCCACGCGTATTTTGATGACTCGATTTCGGATCCGAATGGGCACCAAGACCGGGTCCTGAAACGGGTCTCTGCATGTGAACCCATTCGGCCCTCGGATCTTCCTGATGGGTTGTTTGATTACGGGATGGCTGTTGGTGTCGGTGGAGAGATTTTGCCTGAAACGCTTGAGAAAATGTTGGAAATTTGTAATGTAGTTTTTGTTGATATTCAATCCATAATTAGGGTTTTTGATAGCGTTGATGGAACAGTGAAACTTGTGCCGTTGAAAGATAGTGGCTTTTATCATTTGTTACCCAAAGTTGGGTTTTTGAAGGCCTCTTCGGAGGAGGCTTCGTTTATGGATGTTGAAGATGTGAGAAAGTTGTGTTGTGTTGTGGTGACAACTGGGAAAGAAGGTTGTGAAGTGAATTGGAGAGATGGAAAAGTGAAGATTTTGCCGTTTTCAGCTACTCAGGTTGATCCAACGGGTGCTGGAGATAGCTTTTTAGGTGGGTTTGTGACCGGGTTGTTTCAGGGTTTGGCCGTTCCTGATGCTGCATTGCTAGGGAACTTTTTTGGGTCCATTACTGTTGCGCAAATTGGACTGCCCAAGTTTGATTCGAGGGTGTTGCAGGTTTGTGAAGATCTGTTGTTTATATTTTGGTTCATTTCCTGTTTGACAGATGTATAATATGTCCCACAAGTAGTTGTTTGTGTTAGGGTGAATTTTTTTTTATTTTTTTTAATGTAGATAATATGGTGGTTTTGTGAAAATAAGAATGGTTTAAATTTATAAAGCTATTGGTAATAGGCATATAGAATTATAGATTGAGGATTAATTAGCTTTTGGTTTGGATTCACGATATGACATTAATAAGCTTGCTGTGTTTTGATATTGGAATCATCCTGCCACTGATGTTCCTACAGTAGACATGGGGTTTGGTATGTAGTATTGGTGTATCTAACGATGGGTATATATGAACTGGATGTAATTACCTGGATATTGTAAACTTTCATCTAATTTGGATGTAGGAAGTTGAACGATGGATGATTTTTTTTGTTTTACGAGATAATCACAACATATAGTTGGATGGTTCTATAGACAGCTGCTTCCTTAGAGGTTGTGAAGGAATCATTGTTGTGATGGAGCTTTATCCTTCTTCATTTCATAGATATGGTTCCGTGAAATTTAGATGCTTACTATTATTAATTTGGAAAGTAGATTCGTTTTAAAGGCAACAAGATTAGATTATACTAGCTAGTTGTGTGTGTATGTTTGTCTTTAGTTGAATGGAAAAGAGGGCAGATGTAATATATGGAGTTTAGAATGAGAAAAAGATACATCATTACTGAACCAACCATAGAAAATTTATTTTGGAGAATATATTCTATTCTTTATTTGTGCCACTAACGTATTCAGTTGCATTCTGAGTTAATTTTATAGGTTTCATGTACCATTGAATAGACTTTTTTTATTAGAATAGACAGCCGCATCTATGTTTTATGTGATCTAATGTATTTACTCTTTACTCTAATGCACCATGATATATTTCTAGAGATGGCCCCCATAAACTTTCCATGCCTTTGCACTTGACCTGTTTACCTTTTGGAAATGTAAGGTTCTGCTACTTTACAAGCATAAAATATCTGGTCCATAGGCATGTTCTTTCTTAATATTGAGAAGGAATGATTTATGGTGATTGTTTTTATATCTTGAGCACTTCATCTATGTGCAAAATTATACTTTAGACAATGCTATGTGCCACAGTTTTACAAACATAAATATGTACTTACCTCTATTTTCTTCTTTCAGAGAGTTAAGGATGAGGTGCAGAGGAGAAAGATAAGCTGCTGTGAAAGAAGAGATGATGTGTTGAAGTTTATAAAGCCGGCAGGGCATGAACAGTTTTATGCATCTCTTTGTGCAGCCAAGCTAGTATCAGATTGTAACATCCGGGTACCTCAATGGGATGTACAAAGTTCACCTGCCAAAACAGGGGAGCAGGATATTCTTCCCCAGTATAGTGACCAGCCTAAATTGTTACTTAATCCTGTGTATGAAGAGCCAATAAAAACAGTTCAGGGTAAACCTTGACTGGGGAATGTTTCCCTTTTTTAATGGAATAATATGGATAGAGATCTCTTTGCCCAGAGATTTGGTGTTGGTCAATCAATCCAAATTTGGAAATGAATGACAAACTAAAGCATTAAATTCCTATAAATCTAGAAAGCTTCCCAGGTAAGTAGTTGCCTTGCCTTTTCCCGGACATTTGTATGGTGTTGAGTTTTTGTATTAGCCCCATCTTCACTTGCATTTTGTTGTTAGTGCAAACGCAGAGTGTAGTCTCTAAGAAAGAAGTGAATTTGCTCAAATTGAGAGAGGTAGGTTTTGCCAATTTATTGCTGATGAAAACAGGTCGTCTTTTAAACTTACTTGTGCTTCTCACAGGCATTGTAGTTGAATAACAAAGCAGATTTAGCTTGTAAGTAGTGCAAATTTACTCCTAGTGTTTTCCTGTACTGTTTCTGATTATTAAAATTAGGAGATGAAGTTGCCATTTGAAGAACCAAATAATGTGGCACTTAGACCTCTTAATTAACCCAAATCAATTGTCACTATTTCCTAGAAGAAGAAATAAGTTGTGGCTCATCAATATTGTAAAAGCCAAATCAATGTATTTGTAGGGAGATTTTTCATTGTCAGATTCTCAGTCCGATGTAATATCATAAGCATTTATTTTTCAATTTCAAATTTAATCCTAGCCCTCGTTTCAAATTTTACTAAAAGTACGAAAATGCCCTTAAATATTTTACTTTAAAATTTTTATATTATTTTTTAATTAGCCAAAAAGTCAAATATTAAAAGAAAAAAAAAAAAAATAGTTACTCCACCTAAAAAGTTAGGAATAATGCTATAAAATTGTTTAAAGTTAAATAATTTAATATCTTTATAATGTCATCAATATCACATCACTATTATTTATAATGTTTTTCATTTTACTAATTAACAAAAAAATTATATTTCCTAATTAATTAAATAAACAAAGAAAAAAATGTATCTTTATACTTTGACTAATAAATAATTGAATAAAGACTTTGAATTAACTAAATTTTAATTTATAATTAACTAATTAAGAAATAAAATATTTAAGGGTATTTTCGTCTTTTCAATCAAATATTAACAGAAAATAGTAACATAATCTAACGAAGGGTGGGAAAGTATCATTTTGAAACTTGACGGGTGGGAGAGTGTCGTTTCATCAAGCCTTGGGTGGGAAAATGTCGTTCTCCCTATTGTAAAAGCCAAATCAATGTATTTGTAGGGAGATTTTTCATTGTCAGATTCCCAGTCCGATGTAATATCATAAGCATTTATTTATATATTTATTTTTCAATTTCAAATTTAATCCTAGCCCTCGTTTCAAATTTTATTTTCCATTTATTTAGATTTTAATTATGTAATAATAAGATAAAAAAGTTTAAAATCTAAATTACTATTGTACCCACCATTGAAACCCTGCCATCAGTCCACTAAACTTACCATTTAATAATCTTTCTTTCGATCAGATTAATAAAGTTGTGAAAATGAAGTTAAGACATAGTCACTTTGAGTTCAATTTAGTAACAAAATTTAAGGAATAAATAAAGTAAAAGTTGTACATTTTAAATATAATATTGTTTGTTGTTATTATATTTAAAATAAATATAAACCTCAAGTATTTGAGAATATATCTTCGTACTATGTTTATTCCTTATGCCTTAAGCTATATTATACTGTCACTTGTTACTTTTAAAAGTGTATTCTCACTCAATGTCAAAACTAAAACTAAACCCACATAGGGAGGAAAGCTTATCTTATAATTTATGGGTCAAATTTACGGTTTTTTTCATTTTTTTTTTAACTACGCGAGATTGCTTAGAAAATAAAAAATCCCCCTAAAAAAAATAATAATTAAATAAATAAGGAATCCCACCTCTTTATAAATTTTTCAAAAAAAAGACTCATGATAGGGGTATTTATTATTTGAGTAATGCTACAGTTACTGACGGTTGTGCATCGAATTTGTGCACCGTGGCAAAATCTTGACCGTTGATTTATTATCAGTTAATATTAATCAACGGTCATGATTTTGTCACGTCATTCGGTGCACAAATTCGGTGTAAACTTTTCGGTAACTCTATCATTTTCCTTATTATTTTGTAAATGGAGAATGTAGATTGGTTTAAGCGGATGAATGAGAATATAAGGTCACAATGAAAAGGGTTTAGTGATGACAATGTGACTTTTGCTTACTTAATCACAAAGTTTTGAATACTTGGAAAGAAGTTAGCAATTTGGAAAGAAGTTAAAAAAAAAAAAAAAAAAAAAGTCACTGTGCGGTTCCGGTTCTTATAGTCAGTAACCGGAACCGAGAACCGAGACTAATATGAAATAAAATTAAAGAGTGGGGAGATTAGTAAAAACTTTTGTAAAAAAAGTAATGTGAATACATTTATATTTACATTTCATAACATTTAAAGTAAGTTAGTTTGACTATTGAAAATCTACCTTTACAAAGTAATGAAGTTTGTAATTTTATTTTTGTTAACAAGTGTCAGTTGGGGTGTATTTGTAAGTTTTTAAAGGTTTTTTTACCATTTTAAAAACTTTTGAGGGGTAATAAATTTTGTAGGGTACCTAGAACCGGAACCGTTGTTACATGTTCCGGTTTTGGGTACCTAGGAATCGGAAACATCAGTTCCAATTCCGGTTTCGGTTCCAAATTTCAAGAAACCGTTGGTTCTAGTTTCGGTTTTGGTTCTTTCAAAAAATGTAGGGTACTAAGAACCGAACACCCCTACCTATAACCCATGAGTTTGACTATGGTTATCTTCCATATTCCATGGTCAATTCTTGTACTATGATTCAAGATAACTAAACATGTTTTATAGTCCATCTTTGTACTATGATCCATTCCAATATAAGTAACCCATGTCTTACAACTAACCCCACCTCATGGTTAATCCTGGTACTGTATGATCCAATATAGTTTAGTTGGGGCTAATATGCTTGTCTCTATTTTGAGATTGTGTGCTAGCAATAGTGTTGTAAATTTTAGACAAAGATTACCCAATTTTTGCCTTCTAAATTGCTAAGTCAATTTTCATGAAATTTGAGCAAATATGAAAACAAACATCTTAAACAATTAATTGCACAAATCAAGAGAGAAGGGATAGAGAAATCAAACACGCGATGTATAATGGTTCGGCGAACCCCCTCTATGTCCACTCTTTCATTAATTTCCTTTGAAGATTCCAACTATCACACTTAGTCTTCAACCAAGTGTTATATCTAACATTTCAACCCGATTGACTTTAAGGTGTCAATTAGACCTCTCACAATCTCTAAGACTCCGTTTGTAAAATTGACTTATTCTCAAAATATTATTCTATATTATTCAATTTCTTTTAAACCCTTTTAAATTTATTAATTTAACTAAACACCCCTAAATATTTTTTTTTAAAATTATAAAAACACCGCAGCAACCCTCTGGCGGTGGTGGCTGGTTGTCCAGATTTAATCGGTGGGTTGGGGGTGTTTTTGTTAATTTTTAATATTTTATTATAACGGTGTTTAGTAAATAAAAAAACATAGGGAGTACTTTTGTTAATTTCCAAATCCTACATCGTAATACCCACCCAATTTAACTTTTTTCAAAATATTATTCTAAAAATTAACAGAATAATGAACCAAACGGACCCTAAAAGTTACTTCCTCTCACTAGAAAAACCTAAAACCCAAAAGTGATACAACACTCTCAATAACCCAAAGAAGATATGGTTTAACAAGAAGAAGAAACATTCTCAGAAGATAGATAAACAAATTATAACACACACTATAAGATTTACAAGTGAAAGTGTAGCAATGGGTTTAGTTTAGAGAGAGAAGATTCTCAAATGAAAGCTCTAAAATGATTTAAAAGCTTTTGATGAAATTGTTTGCAAGTTCTAAAGTGTCAAAAGTTATTTAGGAAGTAAAAAATGTAGCCGTTGTGCCTAAAAATTGAACTTGAAAAACGTAAAATTCGATCAACCGCCTTGTCTTCGATTGACCGGATTTGACGTGGCATTTTACGAGGCACCTACGTGACACTAGCTGTTGGGAAAATTTAACTGTCGATTAGGTCGAGCCCAAAAATATGGCTTCTACCCAATTTGAACATTGAAATAGACGATAAATCGAGATAGTCGAATACTAAATTTAACCCCCACTCCCAAGTCCCAAGTATAACTTTTAGTCCAAAATAAAAATTCAAAAACCCCCAAATTTTCAATTTTCAAACACAACATTTTAGCCTAAAATTGAAACCTAGAATCACAATGCACAATCCGGACAATCAAATGGATTAAACAGTAGAAAATAAAAACTTGGTAAATTTTTTAGAAAAATGCTACGAACACTGACGCTTTGCATCGAATTTTTACACCGAATGACTTGTCCACTGAATCAGAAGAGTCATGTATCATGTTAACAAATATTCTGTGAATGAACGGTTATTTATTAAATATAGATGATTGTCTATTATTATTAGATAATTATTTATTTAAAATAAACTCTCATTTATATTATATAGATGATCGTCTATTTAGAATAGATATTTATTTATAGTTTAAACTAAAGAAAATTGATCTAAATTATTTATGGATCGGGATTGTCGTCCATCTTTTAATATTAATAAATTTTAAAATTTAAGTTTATTTAATGCATTAATTGCCTAAAAGTTGACAGATGCCATTTAATGCAATTATTTATTTAATTGGGCGTCCATCCAACTACTTTTTATTGAATATGGACAAAACTTTAACGAAGCTTGTACAATTACTTTGAACTTTGACAAAAGTTGAATGAATATAAAACGCCTGTCCACGGAAAGAAATTTTTTTCAAAATTGTTTGGACGGTTATGGACACCCGTCCATAATAAATATAAATTTTTTTAAAATTGTTTGAATCTATCTATATAAAATAGATAAATATTTATTATTTTTTTAAAATTTGTTTAGAAAAGAATAGACGTTCATCTATAATAAATAGATATCTATCCATATAATATGAATGAACATTTATAAATATTAAACAATTATTCATTCACAAAAAATTCTAGCATGGTCGTGTCTGACTGATTGTCATATTCTTTGGTATAAAAATTCGGTATAAAATTTCAGTGTTTATAGCGTCCATATAATATGAATGGGAGTCCATCAAATATGAACGGACGTCTATAAATATTGGACAACCATTTATTCACGAAAGACTCCAACGTGACCATATCTAACTGATTGCCATGTCCTTCGATGTAAAAATTCGATGTCAAATTTTTGTGTCCGTAGCGTTACTCAATTTTTTAGCCCCCTAGGTTTGAAAAGTGATAGTTTATTCTTATTTTATAATTTATAATTTAATATTATTTATTTAGTTGGCAGATGTACAATGACATATTTTTAGTTATTTTATGCGGTAATTTTGATGAAAATTATATTTTTTATTAGTACAAGTTATATTTATTATTTTTCTAACTTTATATTATTATAGATTATACTCTAATTTTTAATTTTGTTTTATAAATCTATAAAACTTATTTAATTTGGCATATTCACATATGTACTATAATGAATTAATGGTCAATATAACGGAAATTCAATTTTTATTTTTATTTTATAATTTTATATGGTTTATTTAATTGGCACATGTATGCTTTTTACACCATAAGGGGTAATTTTGATAAAAATGATAAATTCATTCTCCAAATGATATATATGCAAACTATAAGGGTTGTACAGTACGACCTTTCTATAGTCATAATATTAGAACCAATTAAATTTATTACTATAAGGAGGTTATAATTTAATAGAGGCGTAGTTACAAAAATTATTGTTTTGATTTCTTATTTTATAATTCACGTTTTAGTAATATTATGATAGTACGGAAATGAATATCAAAGAGTTATTATAAAATTGAGTGATCAGATTCGACAAATTCACTATCCTAATCAAATAAATATTAATGTCTTCCTCAATTATCCAAATGAGCAACAAGTTGTGTATGTTTTAACTGAAGAATAAATCATTACTTAAATTAGACAAAAAAAAGAAGAAGATAATCCTAAGGATGATAGTACGAAAATACAAAAAATTTCATACCAAGAAGTTGTGAACATGCTTGAGAGTTAGAAATATTTTGGCTTCAACAAAAAAGTGTCCATATTGACAGCTTATTACGTATTCGTAAGATAAAAGATATGGTAACAACTTTAAAACATAAATCATTGTCCTAAACAACTTTAAATAAATATTTTATTTTATCTTAAATTTTTAATATAATATTACATATATTTTTTGTAATATACCTATAATTATTATTATATAAAGATAAGTTTTTTAAGATAGAATCTTAAAAAATTATAACTTATTATAATATAAAATTTATTTTTATTTATAATTGGTTCAAAAATTGAGATTATAATTTTGTATGAATAAACATTATTCTAATGTTGGATCCTTAATAGAGAGGGTTTTCTTTATATAACAGTATCTTTTTTTAAACCGTTGAAGATGAGCGGTTGAAGAAGAGGGAATCAGTATTTGCTTAGAAAAATTTCTAACCATTGGATTAGTATTCGTTTGTTTAAAAGTTTTGCTGTTACTCTGATTTTGACACGACAAGACGTCCCATTCAATTTACTTTTCCGTTTGGGAGATAACGTTGATTAATTGGAAAGGAGTGATGCTATGGGTACTAATGGATGGGTACTAATCTGTGTACTAACTAAAGCATAGTATCCGTACTATGCGTATAGTACTGGTACTATACTTTAGTTAGTACACAAATTAGTACCCATCCATTAGTACCCAAAGTATTATTCATTGGAAAGTCTCTTTTTCCCGGTGGAAATTAAGTGAAGCCCACCTTCTATTTTATAATAATAGTCCAATATATATAATTAATTTTTAAGACTTTAAAATTAATTAATGCATAAATTTATTGATTTATCTATAAGTTATAAAGCTAATGATCAGATCAATATTTTATTAATGATGGAAAAATCAAACTCAATATTTCTTTGAATAATACGTTTTAGAGTTTTTATCGTTTTATTTTAATTATATGCTTTGATTTTTTAGTAAAAGAAACTGCACACATCACTATTTATTATTAAATATTATTCTTTTCTTACCGGAATCTATCCCTACATTTTTGCCCCCATAAAATCGATTCCTTATTTTTAAAAGAGACCAACATGAATTTGGGAAACCATAATTAATATCAAAAAATTTATATATATTTTCTTTAAATTTTAATTACTAAAAAATCGTCCATAATTATAATTTAATCCAAAACAGTTGACACAGATTCTACTATAGCGCGTGGGGTCAACCCATATTACGCGTTCATGTAATTTGCCTGAGATTCTCAAATTCTCAAGTTCAGATACGTAGTCAAAATCGATCACAATTTTTTTTTATGAATTTCTCTCCGCACTAACAGCCACAACCACAACCACAACCAGCAACACCGACGCCAGCTCCGTTCCCACGACTGCCTCTTTTCTAAATTTTTATTCTCGTCCTTAAGTTTTACATTTTTTTGTTATTCTTACCCCTAGGTTTCCTCCGTCTCTGACCGTTCACAAATTCACCGCCGTTGAGTTTGTTTCTGTTCGGAGATCATGAAGGACACCAAGTCTAAGAAGAAGAAGAGGCGCTCACGCGCCGCTGTCAAACCAACAACTAACGGTTTGCCACGTGGCGGACCGGAAGATGAAAGTAAGAACAAAAATGTTAGCTCGTTGACGGAGGCATTTGAAGATGTCTCTCTTAAAGAAGCTGACGTTGATGCGAACAAAACGGCGGAGATTTTGACGATGTTGTCGGAGAATAGTGAAGATCCGTCGACTACGAGTTCGGTTTTTGGCGGATCTTGGGGTTTGGATTCAGGTTCGAGCTCGGGTTCGAGCGTGGGGTATGTTGAGACGAGCTGTGTGCAGAACACGGTGAAGAAGGGGACGAGTAGGCAGAAGAGAGTGGTGGCGGTTACCGGAACGGTGGCGAATGTGTTGGGGAAGGAGTACGCGAGGGCGAGTCCTAGAAAAACAGGGAAATTCAAGGAAGTTGTTGATGATCGGAATTGGCTTGATGAACAAGAGGTGGAGCAGTTTTTGTGCTCGATGCTTGGTAAAGATAGCGAGTTGAGTATGGCTGTGGTCAAAGATGTGCTAGGTCAGTTGTCAGTGAGCTATGCATTTTGTTATATTTATATTGTTCAATAAGCTGTTTGTAGGAGGTTTGTCGGTTGAGGTTGTAGTACTGTTTGAGTTGAGTTGTAAAATAGTTACAGTAGGTTGATGGTGGTTTGAATTTTGATGGCTGTGATTTGTTTAAAAGGAGTGTAATTCTTGTAGACCACCGGATAGAATTTTGATAAGTGACATTAGAACTTCGTTTTGAAATTGTTTGGAGGAGTGTTTATGGTATTGTAATCAGATAGTGGAGTGATGCTGTTTGATTGCAGAATTGATGTTTTTAGGAGTTAGATTGTGAAGAAATTAAATGTAGTAGAGGGACTGGAAGTGATAATGATTCATAATGTTGTGTTAGATAAGATGGACTGTTGGACGATGTACCTACTATTAATTTCTGAGATTAGTGTTAACAACCCTAATACATAGGAATTATGCTAGGAAAGTACTGAAAAAGAAGAGAACCTGAACTAATAAGAAACTACGACCTAAAAATTAAAATATCAAGATATTTTATTCTTTACTACTCAAGTTATTTACCTTAACAATCTAAAGGGGTGGATTGGATGTTTGACTGTTTTTTCTCCAAGAGATTAGAATTTTAAATTCCTCCTGGTTAGGTATTTGACATACTATAGCCTAGCAGTTTTCTCCAGTGCTCATCCTATTGAGATTGGGTTATACTTTTCATACTAGTTATCTGCCTCTGTACCTAGTTACGAATTCTGTTGTTTGTCAGTTACTCATGGCACTGTATGTCAACCTATTTCTTGAACTTCTTTCTTTCGTAAAGCAATGTTTGAAAGGCTGTTTTTGACATGTTGCTATTCATGCCTGTGCTTAACCGCTGTTTCCTGAATAAAACCAAGCAAAGACTTGTTTTATCTAGTAGCTAATTGGGATTTTCTATGTAATAGTTAATTGCAGTTGTATATTGCATGACCTAAATTTTTTCTTTGCAGGTCAGTGCGGCTATAATGTTGAAAAGGTATTATTGTCATTCTCACTTAATCCTGTCTCAATTTCTTTTCCATCTGATGAAATTTTCATTTTTTAAGTTTATGTAAGATTAACATAAGTACTAATATTTGTTGGTGAGGTTTTAGCGTGGTTATAATTGTTAGCCATTCAATGAAAGAGAGATCATCTGATCTTTACCTCTATTAGATTTTAATTATTAATAATAAGATAAAAAAGTTTAAAATCTAATTACTATTGTACCCACCATTGAAACCCTGCCATTAGTCCACTAAACTACTATGTACCCGCCATTGATAGATACCATTTAATAATCTTTTTTTCGATCAGATTAATAAAGTTGTGAAAATAAGTTAGACATAGTCATTTGAGTTCAATTTAGTAACAAAATTTAAGGAATAAATAAAGTAAAAGTTGTACATTTTAAATATAATTTGTTTGTTGTTATTAATTTAAAATAAATATAAACCTCAAGTATTTTAGAATATATTCGTACTATGTTTATTCCTTATGCAAGCTATATTATACTGTCACTGTTACTTTTAAAAGTGTGTTCTCACTCATGTCAAAACTAAAACTAAAACCATAGGGAGGAAAGTATCTTATAATTTATGGGTCAAATTATGGTTTTTTTCATTTTTTTTTTACACGCGAGATTGCTTAGGAAATAAAAAATCTCCCTAAAATAATAATAAATAAATAAGGAATCCACATCTTTATAAATTTTCAAAAAAAAAAAAACAAAAAGATCCATGATAGGGGTATTTATTATTTGTAAATGGAGAATGTAGATGGTTTAAGTGAATGAATGGAATATGCATTGAGGTAAGTGTCAAAAAGAAAAAGGATTTAGTGATGCGAATGTGACTTTTGCTTACTTAATCACAAAGTTTTGAATACTTGGAAAGAAGTTAGCAATGTAAAGAAGTTAAAAAAAAAAAAAAAAGGCACTGGTTGTTCCAGTTCTTATGTCAGAACGAGAACCGAGAAACCAGACTAATATGAAATAAAATTAAAGAGTGGGAGGTTAGTAAAAACTTTTGTAGAAAAAGTAATGGATACATTATTTTATATTTTTATAACATTTAAAGTAAGTTGTTTACTTTGAAATCTACCTTTACAAGTAATGAAGTTTGAATTTTATTTTGTTAAATGTCAGTGGGGGGTATTTGTAAGTTTTTAAGGTTTTTTGCCATTTTAAAAACTTTGAGGGTAATAAATTTTTAGGGTACCTAGAACGGAACCGTTGTTACATGTTCCGTTTTGGTACCAGAACGGAAACTCAGTTCCAGTTGCGGTTCCAAATTTCAAAGAACGTTGTTCTAGTTTCGGTTTTTTCTTAAAAAATGTAGGGTACGAAACGAACACCCTACTTATACCCAGAGTTTGACTATGGTTATCTCTATTCCATGGTCCTTCTTGTACTATGATTCAAGATAATAAACATGTTTTATTGTCATCTTTGTACTATGATCCATTCCAATATAAGTAACCCATGTCTTACAACTAACCCACCTCATGGTTAATCCTTGTACATGTGAATTCAATTATAGTGTTGTAAATTTAGACAAGATTACCCAATTTTTGCCTTCTAAATTGTAAGTCATTTTCATGAAATTTGAGCAAATATGAAAACAAACATCTTAAACAATTAATTGCACAAATCAAGAGAGAAGGGATAGAGAAATCAAACACGCGATGTATAATGGTTCGGCAAACCCCCTATGTCCACTCTTTCATAATTTCCTTTAAGATTCAACTATCCACTTAGTCTTCAACCAAGTGTTATATCTAACATTTCAACCCGATTGACTTTAGGTGTCAATTAGACCTCCCCACAATCTCTAAGAGTTACTTCCTTCACTAGAAAAACCTAAAAATCAGAGGTGATAAACACTCTCAATAACCCAACCTATAAGATTTACAAGTGAAATTGTAGCAATGGGTTTAGTTTAGAGAGATAAGATTCTCAAATGAAAGCTCTAAATGATTTAAAAGCTTTTGATGAAATTGTTTGCAAGTTCTACAGTGTCAAAAGTTGTTTAGAAAGTAAAAAATTTTGCCCGTTGTGCCTAAAAATTGAACTTGAAAAACGTAAAATTCGGTTAACCGTCTTGTCTTCGATTGACCAGATTTGACATAACATTTTATGGGGCACCTACGTGACACTAGTTGTTGGGAAATTTAACTGTCGATTGGTTGGTAGAGCCCAAAAATATGGTTTCCATCCAATTCAACATTGAAATAGATGACAAATCGAGATAATCAATTACTAATTTACCCCCCACTCAAGTATACTTTTAGTCCAAAATAAAAATTCAGAAACCCCAAATTTTCAATTTTCAAACACAACATTTTAGCCTAAAATTGAAACCTAGAATCACAATGCACAATCCGGACAATCAGGTGGGTTTAAACGGCAGAAAATCAGAACTTGGTAAAATTTTAACCCCTGGGTTTGAAAAGTGATCGTTTATTGACATTATTCTTGTTTTAATTTATAATTTTATTTATTTATTGTTGGCAGATGTATACTGACATATTTTTATGTCATTTTTGCAGTAATTTGATGAAATTTTATTTTATTAGTACAAGTTATATTTATTATTTTTTGACTTTTTTTATTATATATATACTCTGATTTTTAATTTTGTTTTATAAATCTATAAGACTTATTTAATTTGGCACATTCCACATGTAAATTGTTTTATATATCTCTGATTTTAATTTGTTTATAAAATCTATAAATTCCTTCTCCATATGAATAGATGCAAACTATAAGGGTCGTACAAGTAAAACCTCTTTATGTTATAATGTTGGGACCAATTAAATTTTACTATAAGAAAGTTATAATTTAATAAAGGTGTAGTTACAAGAATTATTGTTTTGATTTCTTATTATAATTCATGTTTTAGTAATATTATGATTTAATTCATTGTTTAGTAGTATTAGATACTACGGAAATGATATCAAAGAGTTATTGTAAAATTGAGTGATTAGATTGACAACTTCACTATCTTAATCAAATGAATATTAAGTTTTTTTCAATCATCCAAATGAGCAATAGCGGGTATGTTTTAACTAAGAAGAGAAATCATTACTTGAATTAGACAAGAAGATGAAGAAGTAATCTTTAAGTATGATAGTACGATAATACCAAAAATTTCATGCCTGAAGTTGTGAACATGCTGAAAGCTAGAAAAATATTTGGCTTCAACAAAAAAAGTGTTCATTGTGTCAGCTTATTACGTACCCGTAAGATAAAAGATATGGTAACAACTTTAAAACATAAATCATTGTCTTAAACAATTTTAGATAATATTTTTATTTATATTAAATTTTTAATAATAACAAATTTATTTTGTAATATATAATAAATATATATATATTATATATAATATAAATTATATTATATAAAGATAAGTTTTTTAAGATAAAATTTAGAAAAATTATAATTTTATATAATATAAAATTTATTTTATTTATAATTAGTTAAATTAAACTATAATTTTTAGTACTATATAAAGATATTTCCGTGTAGAAGCTTAAGAGAGAGGGTTTTTTCGTATATAGTATCTTATTTTAAACCATTGAAGATGAGCGGTGAAGAAGGGGAATCAGTATTCGCTTAGAAAAATTTAACCATTGGATTAGTATTCGCTTGTTTAAAAGTTTTGCTGTTACTCTGATTTTGACATGACAAGACAAACCCATTCAACTTTACTTTTCCGTTTGGGAGATAACGTTGATTAATGGAAAGTCTCTTTTTCCCAGTGGAAATTAAGTGAAGCCCACCTTCTATTTATAATAATTTTTTAAGACTTTAAAGTTAATGAGGAGATAAATTTGCTGACTTATTTATAAATTATAAAATTAATAATGAGATAAATCTTTTATAGTCATATTATAATAATTAAGAAAAATTAAATTCGATATCCCTTTAATAATACGTTTTAGAGCCTTTATAGTTTCACTTTAATTATATGCTTGATTTCTTAGTAAAAAGGAAAACGCATTGTACAAACAATTAACACTATTTATTATTAATAAGATTCTTTTCTTACCAGAATCTATCCTAAATTTTTGCCCCCATAAATCGATTCCTTGTTTTTAAAGAGACTAACAGGAATGTTTATTATTTTGGATAGGATTTTGAAGATAATATTAGATAGTTGGATAAGAGAGTATTACGAGATAAATTAAAAATTTATGAAAAAACTCTCAAGGTTGCTAATTTAATAAACCCTAATATATTAAAATATTGTAAAATAACAAAAACACCCCTAACCTGCAATGCTAGATTTTGACCACCACTACCAGAATTTGGTCAGAAAATTACGTTATGACACAGACTAGTCGGGATTGTGTTTGTAACGCGTCGTTATGGCCTTCTGACTAGATTCACCATGGATCTGATTAGAAAATGCCAGATCTAAGGTGTGGATGTGGCCTTTGACGACCGAAAAAAAGGCTATATTTGGCCATCAACGACGGCCAGATCTGGCCATTACCAGCTATTCTGGTGGTTTTGTGACTATTGTGACAGATTATGACTACCACCGATAATGGTTGTTGGAATCTGATAAGTATTGGTGGATTGGGGGTGTTTTGTTAGTTTTTAAACTTTTTCTGGGGAATTTAATGGAAATCAATAAACTTATGGAGTCTAAACGTAATTAAAAAAAATAGCTATATTTTGGGAATAATGTGTCCAACAATATTTGAAGAATAGGATTGAAAATATGATAAAAACAATAAGCCAAGCCCATCTTTGTACTATGATCCATTCCAATATAAGTAACCCGTGTCTTACAACTAACCCCACCTCATGGTTAATCCTTGTACTGTGTGATCCAATATAGTTTAGTTGGGGCTAATATGCTTGTCTCTATTTTGAGATTGTGTGCTATCAGTAGCGTTGTAAATTTTAGACAAGATTACCCAATTTTTGGCTTCTAAATTGCTAAGGCTCCGTTTGGTTCATTATTCTAATAGTTTTTAAAATAATATTTAAAAAAAAGTTAAATTAGGCGGGTATTACGATGTAGGATTTAGAAATTAACAAAAATATTTCTTATGTTTGTTTATTTATTA